GCGCCGGTCGTCGAGGCGGCGGGGTCGACAGGGACGAGCTTGATGGCCTCCGTGGGCTCGAGCGCCCCTGCTGCGACGCTTGGTCAGGCGCCTCGCCAGCTTGAGTTGGTCGAGGTGGGCGATGAGGTCTCGGCCTCGCATAAGAGCCTCGGCGTACTCGATGCACTCGGCGTCGCGATCGTATGCATGCTCATACGTGGACTCAATCGTGATGATACGGCTGGGGCTGACATCTTGAGCTTGAGATAGGTATAGTTGGGGGGCGCCATGAACTTGGCGTAGTACGGCCGCCCGAGGATAGCGTGGTAGGCTCCCCGAACCCGACTACTTGAAGGTAAGGACTTCTTCTGCGGTAGTTGGAGGAGTGCCAGAAGCGCGGACGGGAAGGTCGATGCGCCCGAGGGGTCGTGCGCTTCCTGGCGCGATGCCGTGGAAGGTGCGACGTCGCCTCGGAGCCTCGACCGGTCGATCTCAAGAGCTCTAGGGTATTGGCGTAGAGGATATTGAGGCCTTTGCCTCCGTCCATCAACACCTTGGAGAGTTGGGTGTTGCCGATGATCGGGTCGATGACCGGTGGAGTCTTGTCCGGGGTTTGAACATGGTCGGGGTGGTCGTCCCGATCGAAGGTGATCGCCTCCGAGACCGGTCAGAGTCTTGGGTGGTAGCCACCTTGATCGAGAAGACCTCTCGGCGTTCCCTCTTCTTACTTTGCCAGCCAGTAAAGCACGCCGAGGGTCCCCCCGAAGGTCATGAAGGCGTTGCGTACCTCGGGAACCCGTCGTCCTTATCGTCGTCCGGTCGCGGCGCCCATACCTTGGCGGCGTCGTCGGGGAGCCCAAGCTGGCGTAGTAACGTCGCACCATGGAGCAATCCTCGGCGTGCTTGGCCGGGCCTTGGTGGTAAGGCGGGGTTTCTTAAGCATGTCGTCGAAAGGCCTAGGGCCTTTGGGGCCTCGGGGATTCTTGCGTTACGTGGCGCGACAGATCGGCCTCGGGACCTCCTGCTTCCCAGCGCCTTTTTCTTTCTCTTGGGGAGGTGGGAGGCTGAGGCCTCGGGGCCTCGTCCCTACGCTTACCCTTGGTGTTCTTTGTCGGGAAGATGGCTCAAGCGGCTTCCTCACCCGAGGCGAAGTTGGTAGCGATGTCGAGGAGCGCGGCGGTGGGCTGCTGCACGTTCCGACCTAACTCTCGAACCAAGTCTCGGCGGGTGGTGCGGAGAGAAAGCTGGGCGATCTCCGAATCGCCGTACGCTGGGCAACTCGGTGCCTTTGCTTGGAGAAGCGCCGGATGAAGTCTCGGAGAGACTCGTCGGCTTCTGGCGGCGACTCTTAAGATCGGGGAGTTCCCGAGCGCGCGCGTATGTGCCACGAAAGTTCGACGAAGATCCCAACCAAGTCGCGCCCGATCGTGGATTTGTGAGGGAGGAGGTGCTCGAGCGAGGCTGCGGCAAAAGTCGACAAGAGCAAGGGAGGTTGCGGATGATGAGCGAGTCATCATCCGCGCCACCTAAACTGGCGAGCCGGTGATGTCGGCAAGCGAGTTGGGGTTGGTCTCGCCGTTGTACTTAGCGAGATTGGTGGTTGCGAAATCGGCGGAGAAAAAGCGCGCGGATGGCCCTCTTGAAGACCCGAACTGGCGGTTCGGGGAAGGACTGCGGTCCTCCCACCGCTATCATAATGGCCGCCTCGGTGTGGGTGGTAGCCCAGGCGGGCCCCTCATTTGTCGTGGTGTCGCCGTCTGCTTGACCACCTCATGGTTTCCCTGCACCTCGCGTCGGTTGCCGAGGTGGTCCAGAAGCTGAGGGGCCCTGTGGGCTCTCGGTGCTCAGCGGGCTCGGGGGACGAGCCGAGGCTTCCCCTGTCTTGCCGGCGGTGCCGTGCAGGGAGTTCGAGACGCCCCGTGCTTGCCGTCGGAGGCGGAACTCTCGGCTTTCTTGAACCATGGGCGGTCTCTAGGAGCTCTCGGAGCTCGCCGTGGACCCGCTGCCCCTCCATGGTAGAAGGCTCGGGCATCGCGCGGACCAGCATTGCCGCGGCTGCGACGTTCTGGCTGGCGCGATTGAAGACTGGGGGTTGCTCGCTCCCTTCGTCGTCGTCGTGGATGCGATGATGTACATCGCGGGCCCTTCGTCGGGCTCCTCCGCCGCCCGCGCGACCTCATTTGCTCTGCTCGAGAGTCTCGAAGCTGCTTTGTAGAAAGAGTCGGTCTGTTCGACCTTGGCACGGAGCTCACGGAGCTGTTCAGTCTGGATGTTGAGGTCGCGCAAGAAGCGGGGTTCTCGTTCCGTCTTCTTGGTAGGAGAATGCGCGGAGGTGTGGCGGCACTGTACTGGGCGAAGCGGGGAGCGGCTACCCGCCCCTCGTCTTCCTCGCCCGCCCTCGGCATCCCGAGCCCGGCGTGGAAACACTCACGGCGGGGGTCGTAGGTGCCCTCGTTGTCCGAGTCAGATAGCCGAAGCGATGAGTCGCTGCGGCGAAGCGGCGCATAGCCACCGGGGTCGTGGAGTCGGAGAAATCCACTCGGGCCATGCCTCGTCCTCCTCGAGGAGTCGGCGTGGGTGCCCGGGTTGAGAGTGAAGCGGCTGGCGGCGTTCAGGGGATCCTTGTGAGGCGGCGTGGCGTAAGCATAAGAGGTGGCGGCATTTCTCAACCCAAAGGGGTATGAGCATGGTGCCGTCGCCGGACTTTGCTCCCCAAACCGGCTCTTGAGGAGTGGTGGGCGGAGCTTGGTGGCCTGGCGTCGCCATGTGCCACCGGCGTTTTCCTTCGTCCAAGCTCGGGCTAGACGGGTCCCCGGCCAGGAGCACTGTGCCATGCAATTTGGTCGTAGGATGTCGGCGAGGAGGCGGCGTGAATCTGATTCGAGTAGCATTGGGGTGGTCTTGCTCGCGTCGTGCTTGGCGAAAGCACGGCGAGCAAGCGACGCCCGGCGCCCGCCTAACGCTGAAATTTGCCGGTCGCGTGGACGTCGCCGCCGTCGGTTGGTGGGGCTCGGGCGTGAGGAGTACCATGTCGTACTCATGCCCCGAGAGACATGAACTCTAGGCCCCGAACGAGATCACCGTGCCGAGGGCGTAGCGGTCGTGACGGGGTGCGCCATCCGGAACTTGTTGGGATGATGGCCCGACACGCGAGAGGCCCCTACCTAAGCGCGCCAAGCTGCCGGTGTTTTTGGACACTGGGGTCCTCAACCAACCAACTAGTGAATTTGAGCTGCGTGCCCCTAATCCCGGATGGTGATACAAAAGAGACACAAGGTGTATACTGGTTCAGGTAATCGGTGCCCTACGTCCAGTCTGAGAGATCGATCTTGTATTTTTTGCACCGAAGTGCTTGTAGTAGGGGTTACAAGCTAGGTGAGAGAGGGAGCCAGTCCCAGGTCTCGGCGAGGTGTGAGATGGGTCGTTTGAGACGTTGCTCTCAGGCGGCAAGGAAATGTGTCTATTACAGGGTGTTGTTCTTCGTCCCCAGAAATGGCCTGGCTGCCCCTTTTATAGTCATTTGTAAGGGAGGAGCCAGGGAATACATGAGAGAGCTACACGTGGAGCCTTAGAAGGAAGATCTAGTACTCTATCCTGCAGCAGAAGACGATGTCGGGGAATGGCAATTGGTACTTGATCACCGGTGCGCCATGAGCCATGCCCGAATTTGTTGAGGTCGTGGGAGTCCTTGTTGACGTCTAGTCGGTATGGCTTCCTTGTGAGGAGACATGTCGTGCCTTGTGTGTTCTTGACTTGGTGGAGTCCGAGGGCTGGCGGGTCTTTATGGTGATCGTGCGAGGGCTGCTTTGCCGAGGCCTCGAGGAGGTGACCCGTGTATGATGCGGGGTCTCGGTGGTCAGCGTTGTCGTACCGGTTGGTGGAGAAGTGCGAGTGTGTGTCCACAGGCACGGTAACCCCCCCACACCGTCGATGAGGGATGGTAAAAGGAGATTTGACCGCTGTCCCATCGCCCTGTTCTTTGCACCCCGCCGGTCGTGGGCGGCGTAGTAGGTGTGACCAGCGCACTTAAGCGGATGTGACGGCTCGCCGGAGGGGCGGTTGAGGCGGAGGCGACAAGGATGCGGGGCGAGCCCGGCCTCGCAGCAGAGGCGGAGAAGAATAATACGTCCGAGGCCCCTGCCGGGGTTTTGACGAGGCGGAGGACGAACGGTTGGTCTTTCATGCGATTCCGAGACTACGAGGACCCGGACTTGACCCTCCACGCCACTTTGTCCTTGGCGCAGGAGTTTAGGAGGCACAAGCCAAGTCGGGTGTCGGCGGGGGCAGCTGATGATAAACACGATGGTAGGTAACCCTGCTGCGCCGGTCCCCCTATCCCGTCGGTCATTCTCGCTTCATCTTGTGCCAACGTCTGGTGGCGTTGCTAAGGGAGTAGTGGGGCGCATTAACTGGACGTGACGTTTTGTCAGGGGAGTCGGTCGAAGCGGGGGCGACGGACTATGGATAAGCTGGCCTCGCGCAATACGGAGAATGAGGCCTTGCGTGAGACGGAGGGCGGAGCCTCGCGCGAGACGAAGATCGGACTCCTTGCCGAGGCCTACTGTGAAGAGCCTCGCGCGAAACGGAGATTGTGTTCCCCGCCGAGGCCTTCCGTGGAGAGCCTCGCTCGAGGCGGAGATTGCGTCAGGACGCCGAGACCTTCTGCACGAGGCTCGAGATGAGGCGGAGAGCCTAGCGGGCTCGGACGTGGCAGGTGAGGGGCCCACGGCTTACCTTCTAGCTTTGTATTTTGATGGGACTTAAGTGACCCTTTTGATGTTTGCTCGAGGTACCCCGTCCTAAGGTACCCGACAACATTAACATCTACAATTAGTTTCATTAAATTCACCATGCAATATGTCTTAATAATGCATTTATTTGAACCTGTAGATGTTAATATACTTTTCTACTAACTTGGTGAAAATTGGAAAAGTTTGACTTAGGATAAAGCTAAGTGAACTATAATTTGGAATGGAGGGAGTACACGATATCTTAAATGGTGAGGAATAGATGTCACATACCTTGGCAAACGCACTCGCAGCTTTTGACTCCGTTTCTTTGCGCTTCATCAGCTCAGCAAAAGCTTCTTTCCTTGATCTGTGAGCTTCCATCATTACTTGTCTGGCATTTCTGGCCAATACTTCCTGAAATACTATCCACGTAATGTTTAACACAAGTTTCAAGCATGAGTTACCGATGCATATGTATATAAATGAAGCAGAGTGACCACCTTAGAATATAACTGTAATGTATCAATATGTACAGAAGAATCAGACCAGAATGTTGAGTTGAGTGCAGATTCTGTATCATCTTGCCAATCTGACATGCTCAAACTGTTGAAATGGTTGGCTTCATAATCATTAGATCGATCATAATCTGAAACAATGCCTTGATTCAGATCAACTGTTGTTAATGCCTCGCGTGCAAGATATCCTTCATCAAGTACGGGTCCGGTGTTGTTATTATATGAGCTGAACCTAATTCTTTTTGTAGTTATCACATCATCTCGGTACTGAACTGGGGCAGCGTTGTCGGTGGCTGCACTCGCTTCTCTGGTCCATATGTGCCTTCCTCTCCACACGAACCAGATTTGACAGAATGCAGGAGCATTGCTGGCCATCAAAGATTCTTTGCCATATTTTAACTTGAAGTAACTGCATGCATTTGGCGGCCCAGGATACAGTTCACTGAGAAATAGTAGAACATAATGTATGCTACTAGCTTCAAGAGATATGATGAGAAGCATACTTATCAGGTGTTGAACCCATTACGAGCTTGGTGATCCTGTACTGGTCGACCAGGCTGAGGATGCCATAGTGGATTTGGTCGTTCTCCGTGACAAGAAGCCTGGTCTGGACCTGGGCCCTGTGGCAGAAGGCGAGGTAGGTGTGAAGCATCTTGTTCATCTCCTCCTTCTCGGACTCGCGATGGGAGAGCACCAGCTCCTCTGTGGCTTGCGCCGCGGGGATCTTTCCTACTGGTTTTTTTCCCAGTTCATTTATGAGTTTGGTTGTTCAATGAATGATGAATGATGAATGGTTGAACTACAGAAATGGAAGGCAATAGATGATGATTGAGTCGTCGAGAGTACTCACAGAGGGTTGGGATGACCGGCGACGGCTGGTGGACGTGGAGGAGGGCGATGCGGCCGCACCCGAAGCGGCGCAGGGCCCATCGCAGCAACCCAAGCGTCTTCTCCGGTGACCTCCCGACGGCCACGTGGACCCACGCCTCGCCGTGGTGCTGCTCCCGGCGGCCGCCGCACCGTAGGAGTGGGCGGGGGCTTGGCGGCGGAGATGGGCTCAGGATCTCCATGACCGGCGATCCAAGTGTGATTTCGACGTTTCTGTGAAGAAGTCAACGGCGTTGTCTTGTCCGATATACAGGACTGCTTTATAGTCTTATTCTAGGGCCGCGTTTAGTTGCGCCCGAATCGACGCCGCCGGAATACCGTAGATAAGTGTATCGAACCGTAGCATTTCGTTTATATTTGATAATAATTATCTAATCGTTGACTAATTAGGCTTAAAACATTCGTCTCGCAAAATACAATTAAACTGTGCAATTAGTTTTTGATTTCGTCAACATTTAATACTCCATATATGTACCGCAAGTTTAATGTAACGGGAAATCTTCTTTTTGTATAATGCCAAATTTTGTATTTTTGTGGAACTAAACATGGCCTAATCAGCCTGATTGGCAAGCCGTGTGAGAGAAAAATACCGTTCTAACTTATAATCTACGATCATATACGAGCAAGCGAATAGACGGAATATTCCGTAATATTCCCTGACCCATAAAAGGTCTCTCTTTTCTTTACGTTTGTCGTCATTACTGGTACTCTTTGACAAGTTGACAGTACTATCGGTGGCGAATCTGGAAACGAAAGAAAGAGGCCAAATGCTACAATTTATTAAAACTAAGGATATCTCGTGAGAAGTGTCAGATATCTAATTTACGTAGTCCCTCTGTCCCAATAAATTGCGGGCTAGTTCGGCTGCTCTGGACCGGTTGGCTTGGCTGGACTGGTCAACGGCTGACTTAAAAGCTAACCTCTCGGGCCGCATTTTGCTCCTCTCCCTCAGTCCGTTACCCGGCGCGTCGCGCGGCTAGGGTTTGCGCTCGCTCGCCTCTTCTCCTCTTTCCTCCCGCGCAGGTTGTGGCAGTCGTCAGCTCCGCTTCGCCGTGCCTGCCCCCGCAGCTGTCAGTGCCTCTGTCCCCTCCTGCCTCTCTCCGCCGTGAGGGGGCCCCCTCGCGGCCGACAGTCTCCGCGACGAACGTGAGCTCCGCATCCCTTCCAGAACTCGTCACCGTCGACGCCCGTCTGCCGGCCACAAGGTACCCCGGATCCGACGCCGCCGTCATCCCCCCTCCTGATCTGTCGCCTCCGTCTTTCATGCGCCTCCTCTCCGGCTCTGAGGACGCTGTCTCCCCTCCCTCCTCCGGATCTCCCGCCTCCGTATTCCCCCTCAACTCCGGTTCTGTCGCCTCCGTCTCCCCCCCCCTCCGGTGCGACGGCAGCGCCGTAAATCCACCCCCTCGGGATCGACCCCCCACGTGCTCGTTTTGCAGGTCTTTCCCGAGCGCCGTCCACGGATCCGGGGACGCTTGTAACTAATCAACTAAAACTACAGGTGATGTTATTCAGTATCGATGAGCACATTTTCCATTGAACAAAATGCTTTCTTTCTTTAGAAGTATCTAATTTTGTATGAACATTATGGGCACATTTGGACTGCTATTTCCATTGTATTTAATATATGTGCGCTTGTACATTTGTTTCTGTTTACATGATTTCACGTATTCACCAGATCATGAACAGTTATTTGGAACATAATACATTCAAGTGTTCTGTTCGATTTGAGCGACGAGCTTCTCACTGGTGTTTAGTTTTCTGCCACCTCTTTTTTCTCCACATATGCAAATAGCTAGCTAAGAATTTCTTGTTGAAGATGCTCTTAAGCAAGTTATTCGAACATGATTTAACTCTATCCAAAATTTGGCATGAATTTACATTATAGCATGACTTTACATTGCAGCAGCATACCTTATTAAAGCAATTGGGTGACATTGAAAGTAAGAAGGAACATCTATATAAATCAAAGGGGAACTGCACGGGTACTAAATCAAATGCCAAGTTGAATAATCAATTAGGGCAAGTTCAAATTTCAGCATGCATATAATCTACCATATGATAATGTATCTACGGTTCCCCATTATGCACACTAATTTTCATTGGCAATGTGGTATTATGTTTGTTTCTTTCAGTGCACCGCTCGCAAGTGCTTCATAACGCTACCCACACTGGCAGCGTCCTCCACTTCATCGTGCTCTTCACCTCAAGCCAGACACTACAACCATCGATCCAAACGCGCAAAGCGTTCTGCTAAGGTACGTCCGAATTTCTTTCGCCCTAACTCTCTTGTTTGTGATGACAAGATCTATTTGTTCTTTGTTGTCCGTATTGCGTTCATCGTACCCTATAATGTAAACATGGCAACAAATGTCCACGGACCGTGCTAACTGGGACGACACCACCGTGAGGACCTTTTCTGGAACTTGTGATAGAATAGAAAAACCTATTGCACAACCAGAGAGGCCTCACAACCTTGGGGTGGGCAAATTTGTATCCAGCATTCGCAATGGCAATGGGGTTGACGTACGATAAGAAACAGCTACAGAACAAGCTTAACGAGCTGAAGCGAGCATATTTTACTTGGCGCGACCTTCAATCCCACACTGGCCTAGGCCGTGACCCACATACAGGCGGCATCACAGTTGACCCCTCGTTCTGTGAGGGTGGCAACGGGGTACTAATTCCACCTATTTGTTTTATAACCCCCCTCCCCCCTACTAACCTCTTACAGGGATGTTCCCATTCTATTTAATTCTAACCCTTGGATCCATGACACACGTGCAGGAAAATAGCCAGTCTGCTGCGGAACGGACCAAAATGCCCAAATGCCTTGACCTATTGATAATTCTGTGGGGCACTCTCCCCGTGACAGGGGTACGTTGATATCGTCTGGTGGCCATCATCGTGAGACGACACCCAACAATGACAGCCATGATAGTCCACATGAGATATCACCGGACCTCTTTGTTGTCAGGAGTGTTGGTCAATCATCCAAGAGAACCACTAGGGATTACTCTATCAATAGCCCGCGCAGTAAGAAGAGTGCTTCCATTGATGAGTGCCTCAACGACATCACTAACCTCATTAAAGACTATAAGATCCAGAAAGTCCGTACAAACAGGCAGGAAGAGGAGATGAACAAAGTGGTGAAGATTATGAAAGATGATGGTGTGGAAGAGATTGATGATGTTTATACTCAGGCTTTAATAATTTGCAAGGACACACTGGACCATAGAAACTTCCTCAGCATGAAAACCAAAGAGGGACGCCTCAAATTTCTGAAGATCTGCTGGGATGATAGGAGATCCAGATCCAAGTAGATGTTAACCGAAACAGCCGTACTACATTGATGTTTTTATTATGTCGTTTATAACATTTGTTAAAGTTCCCTTGTTGTAATGCGGCCTATGGCCTGAACATTGCTTGCTGTTTTTTTTTCAAGTACCTAAATAAATTTGTTGCGTGTGGTTATTTGGTTTGTCCAACAAACATTTCGGTTTTTCATGTTCAGGAAGTAGCTGTTGCAGCAACCACGAAGTCGCAAGGTATAAAGCATTGTATACATTTGTTTTCACATATGCAGCATATGTCCCTCCCTTTTTTCCAGGCTATATTGCTACCTTTTAAAGATGGATTCATTTATGCCATTTATCTGGTATAGTCAGCTTAGGCCAGTAGAGGACAAAAACAGATAATGCCACTGTCTTCAGCTGTTTTAGATTGATATGTGTTTCAAATGTGAATAAGTTTGGCACATGTATAATATGAGTTCTGAATCATTAGCTTTCTAGTTTGAAGTTGCATTAATGTTCACTGCCTGATAATTTTGGACCTAATATTGGTTTTGTAGATGAACAACAGTGAGGAATCCGATACCAGCGACAACTCAAGCGAAGGATCATTCATTTTGCCCTTGCCAGCTGCTGCTCTACTGCTTGCAAAATACAAAGCTGCTGCTCTACTGTTTGGAACATGCAGGATGCACCTGAGTTTTGGATAACCACACAGGAGTACCAGGAAGAAGGTGTAGCTTGCCTAAGGAAGTGTGGACAGTCAAATAGTCCCATACCTCTGGCCACATATCATCCAATCCCAGCACAGAAGAAGTGGAGGGGCTCCCCATGCTGACAGAAACTATGGAGAAAGGTAAGGAACACATTGATCTGAGAATGAGATGCATCCAGATGCAGCAGGTTTGACTTGGGGGCATATTTGAATGGTTCACTGCTGTTGTAACGAAGTGTTATTTCAATGGCCTTGGAAGCACATTTAAGTGAGATGTAATGAAATGGTATTACAACTGGTTAGTACTAATTTGTATATGTTAATGTTGTTACTTGTTGACGGACATGTATTTGAATGGGCCTGAGAGTTGCGCCAACTATGGTTCATTGGCGCCATAATTTGATTTGAATCCAGTTCATTCAAATCAAATTTGCAGGAGCAGCTTGTTGCCTGGCTTGTGCTGGGCTGATTCAAATCAGCTGATTGACCAGCCAAGCCAGCCGATCCAGAACAACCGAACAGGCCCTGCATATCTCGTTTAGAGACCAACCAAATTTCTTCTAAACTAGTTGAGTATCCATGCGTTGCTACGGGCAATTATTGGTAGAACGACAGAAAACCACACAGACAAAGTATACTGGGATATACTTTGTGTTTTCCAGTCAATGGAATTATTGCACCGGCAATCTGTAACCAAGTATTTTGCATATTTTGACATCCACGTCTCACCTCCCTTACCGTTCAGGTGCTTTCCCTCACTATGCTTAGTTTCACACTGCTCATATGTTGCACCAAGAGAAACTGAAATGAAACCTATGAAGTTTTGATATTATGTGGCAGGAACTGAGAATGAATAAAAAATAATAATCTGGAAGAGTTTACAGGTACCTTTATCTTTGTATAATAATAATCACAGGAAATCAGAGACAGCAAGAACAAAAGGATATGAGTAAAATCTGTAACACAATGAGATTAAAAATTACCACAAATCATTGCTACTTTGAAACTCCAGTAAATCTGAAACTATGAATTGTAGGCAACAAAAAGGTTTCAGTAGGATAAATTAGCCAGCACATAGAATATCTCATCTATGTAGGTTATTCAATTTCAATTACACACTGATGGCCAGCACATATTGTCAACAAGCATTCTAAAAATACAGATGGCTAGCTACAGTTTGTATTGTTTAAAATTTATTTATGCAAGACCACTATTTCAGTGGTATGGTAAGGTGTCACTATTGTCAGCTTGCGTTTTATCGTTTGAGAAATCACCCCTCTATCGATGTGTCAGGATTGCTACTGAATAGCTCCAGTCCAAAGATCACCTGCAGGAATTTCAGCAATCAGATCAAAGATGTGGAAACAGAAAAACAGAACAATCTTTGTTTCTTGGCAGGTTGATAATTCAAGTGCTAACAATAGATTTTTGGACAAAGACACATCAAAGCTCGTTTGAAACCCTATCCGTCCATACCAGTTTTATAATGTTTTGAGCTCATTTGAATATATGCTTGTATCAATTTTCACATTTACCTTTAAGTTCACTTACAATATGCGCAAGGCCTATTATGGCTGTATCATCTTCCCTGTGAAGTTGTGAGCTTCTGATTCCCTGAAGCTGGTTATCCTTAACATGAGTGCCGATTTGCAGCTGAGTGCCTGTACGTTGCTACGGGAACACAATAGTGTCCAACCACTTTAGTGTGGAGCGAGCGACAGTCACAGCCGAGGTTGGCAACATATTATGTACCATGTGGGGATCCAAATAAGAATGGACTTCCAAAAATTGAAATCCTAGTTCTTGCCATTTTAATTTAACACTCAGGATTATTCTTTGCATTCAGTCACTATTTTATACACCATCTCTCAATCATGGTAGCAGTACCTTTTATGATATCCTATATTATTATCATTTAATTCTCTTTTCACAAACAACTAGAAAGAAAAACCTCAGGCTCACGTCACCAGTCCTTGGAAGTCATGTTGGAAGTAGTGTGCACATCCAGCTAGACAGTTGCGAGGTAGTGTGCGCCCTCCAGCGCTCCTGATGCGTTAAACGACCAGCATGGCCTCAGTATGATTACCAATTTACTTGAATGCTGTTGGGGAAATCTGAAGATGGTGGTTTGAAACTTGAAAGAGATGGTAACTGCAAAATCATCAGCCCTATGCACTCTCCCATAAGTTGAGAGCTCAAACCACCAAAATGTCAAAGGCACTGTATACGGTGAACTCATTATATTAGCATAGACAAGTGAGAAAAAAGGCACATTGATGTTTGTATGAGGGTACATCTGCATCATCAGGTCTCAAACATTAAAAGGAAAAGAATGCATAAGAATGCAGCATGTAACAAGGCATCAGTGGTACTTAGTTACTTGCTTACCAGTTATAGAATAAAACAATAATTATGAAACTAACCTAAAGAGCCTCACCATGGAAGTGTCAGTATCACCATCTCAAACCAAGGAACAGAGGTGGATCGTCTCTTCTGTATCTTTAATTTTTATCTAGTGACTTCCGCGACCATGATCCACCACAAGGATTCTTGTTGAAGCATCTGCCTTCCCTTGCTAGTTTTCTGAAAGGCCGTTTAGATTAAAAATTGAACTGTCAGGCCATGCAACTGCGAAAACCGGCAGTATCTATACAAAAAACAAACAAAATACTACAATTGCTACTCCAAAATGTATTCAAGACATGTGCTTCAATTTAGGTGGTTATTTATCTATTGACAAGAAAAACTGTCATTATATGAACAAAGGTACAATAAAAACAGCATACATTATGAATCAGTAATCAAATGAAGTATCATTGAAATACCAAACTTTTTAGACTTCAAAAAAACTCTACATATAGTCTGAACCAGCACACCAATAAACGTCGAAGAATTAAATATAAGAACATAGCCTCAAGTTGTATCTGAAAGTACTGAGAATATTGCACCCTCTTTTTATGCAATACGTGGTTTTTGAACTAAACAACATGCCCACATGCTAGCAAATGATAAAAGATTATGGATTCCCAACCTGTAAGTAAAATCTACTAATAGTGCTTTTTCTTGCACTGAATTCTCTCCTAATAACTCCTCACTTACAGTCCATACTCTCATGGACCATAGAAGAAGCAAAACATTTTACACAAACCATAATCTTTTTGCAAACACAAAAATTTAAGCCAAAAGATCGTCTAAAATGTCAGAGGCAGTATAACAATTAGATTGCAGAATGGAGTGCTTCACATAGTGAATGCAGAAGCACAAATTAGCTACACATAACAGTGTCATATGACAAACATAAGTTGAGGTGGATATAAAACTATTAAAATAAATCACAAGGAAAACATTGGAAGCTTGCCAAAAACTTGACTTCAGGCAGACAATGAGTGAAAGACCATGTATTTGAAGGTACAGACTACAGACTGATTGAGTGTGAAAACATCAAATCTGTATTCAGAATAGAACGGGTATAGAACATGATTAAACTCACTTTCAGTGCTGATGTACACAGTGCATGGACCAAGTTTGAAAGAGTTCAATATCAACTGAATGCCTCATTGCCCTTCTGGTAAAAAAACAGTTGTTTATGTTCAAAATTATTCTTAGAAATAACCATGTGGCAGATCATCCATGTGTCTAGAAAGTATTTTTGACAACAAGGAAATGAACAAGCCAATTTGTATTCCTTCACGTTCCTCTAACTAAACTAACAGAAGGAGCATATATCATAGCTCTAGGAGAACATTTTCTATGCTTCATTACTGACAACATTTCCAAGCAAACAAAAGCATGGCCCTTCTCATGTAGACAAGACAATCAATCTAGAGTTTCCATGCAGTCTGATAGTTGTTGCACCCTATACTACTGTCTCCATAATCACAAAGGCCAGAAAAAAAAGGGAAGCACTCACATCGTGCTGTGCATCTTACAAATGCAATAGAACCCACTGATGATCTTTTTAAAAGTCTGGATATCTGGCTCGAACCCCATTCCTCTCCATCAACTTGATGACATAAAGAAGCATTCACTTGCCAACTGGTAGTAACTGTCGATCAGGATCTCCTGTCTGCATATGCATTTAAAAGATTCAGTTTTTCAAAGAAAAACACAAAACAATAGAATCAAAAGAGAATCAATTTGTAAAGTAACAACCAACTTACCTCTCAGCGCCAAAGAGCCGACTCTGATTCATCTTCTAACACATCAGCATTGAGGGAAGATTTGCCATACACCATCCTCTGCCCAACAAGCAGCATAGAGCTACAGACTGAAGTCACACACATGACACATGCCTAGTGGACCTCTGTGAGGTATTGCAGAGTTGTCGTCCGGACTGGGGCAGAGCGGGGCAGTCAGAGCTCTGTTAATAATAAGAATCTAAAGTGCTAAACAGGGGAACTAAGAAAGCTCATACACATCTCAAGCCTAAATGCCTTCATCATGACAAATACTTCACTATTGAGGTCAGCACAAACTACACATAATAGTATTGGCCAGACATGACTGCTATTTATATGCCGCAAAATTGAAACAACAACCATTTCTTCACTGCAGCAGGAAAGTAAAGTTGACAAAAAGTGTATGGATGGTTCAGCTAACCTGGGATTGGCAACACCGTTGATGATGGCAGATTAGGGCCCTTGCCTTCCGCGCACCTGCTCCAGCGGCAGGACCTTCACAACAACATACTCCAACCTTCCAGTACCAATCCTCTTGCTGCTGCACCACCAATACTGCGTCATTGTCATGGTCGGCGTTACGGGACAGGGGCCGACTCTGTATTGCAATAACAACCAACAGCTTAGAGAGTTTAATCCAATTAATGTCATAACTCCCATCTAGACTGTGCAGAACATAATGGTCATTTTTGGCAATTGGCATTGCCAGTATCAGACCACAATGAATGGACGGTTATATGCCTTGGTGTAATCACACTAAATGGTGACTGAAAAACTGCTTTCATATCTTAATCCTAGCATTGGCTTTGTTGCTATACCATCAGGTTAGTTAAATATAAACAAAGCCTTCTTAAACAGGTATACTCCCAAAAGCTTTGAATCTAACAGAGAAAAACATGCATCCGCTCAAGGATGCAAATATAGCACTGCAATATCAGCTCTGAAGCTCTGAATTATAGATTCATGTCCCTGGTCAATATTAGCAAGAACTACAGCTACAACTGTCCATTAGTTGGATTGTCTCTAGAAACCATGGTTTTTAAGTCGTCTCTAGGTGTCGCCTAGGCGTCCAGGCGCTATTTTAAGCTGGGCGTCGGCCTCGCCACGAGCAACATCTGTATGGCGTCCGCCTTGCCGAAAAAGGCGTCGCCTAGGCGCGATTAGGCGACGTTGGAGCTCCGAGCGGCCTGAGGCGGACGACGCACGAGCGAATCGGACGACGCCTGGCCGCGAGAGTTGCGCGCGCGGGAAATCGCGGCCGCAGGAGTTGCGCGCGCGTGGGAATCACTATTGCGGGAGATGCGCGCGCGCGGGAATCGCAACCGCGGGAGTTGCGCGCGCGGGGGAAATCGCGGCGCGGGCCTACAGCTCCCGCAAGTCCCTATCTCATCTCTGCCGTGCGCAAAGCCGCAAACTCACCTGTTCTTGGCGCGCGCGGCCGCTCCGCCTCTTCTTCTCCATCGATTTGTGCCTCCCCTGCTTCGATTCGAGTCTTCCCTGCTTCGATTTGAGCCTCCCCTACTTCGATTCGAGTCTTCCTCCCTCTTCTCCGCTGATTTGTGCCTTGGATTCACGGCTCCTTGCGCTGCTCCGCCAGTTCCAGCCTCCGGCAGCTCGGGGGACAGGACGACAGGTACGTGTGAGCATCTCTTCCTCTCCCTCCAGCTTCACTCCTCTTGGATGCGCACTGCCCCTGCTCTTGATTTGGATGTGCACTGCCTCTGCTCGACTTGGATGTGCTCTGCAGCTCTGCTTCCCTCCTCTTCCTCTGTTTCTTTCCATGTCTTTCCTCTGCTTGTGGCTTTGTTATACAGATGCTGACTGGAAGTGCTCAAGTTCTTTGTTTTTACAGCTGATAGCACAATGGCAAGTCCATCTTCCATCATCAGCAATTATGATCCCAGGACTGATTTAGCTCGGAAGGGAAATTCTGCGGATCCAGGATGGAAGTATGGCTACTGGCCAAACCTTCAAAACAAAGATGTAGTGGCCTGCACTCTATGTGGTGTCTCACTTTTTGGAGGGATAAGAAGGCTGAAGAAGCATCTAGCGGGTGGCTTTGGAGATACAATGATGTGCAAGAAAACTACCACTGCAATTAGAGTAGAGATGGAAAACTGCTTAAATGATCATCCCTAGATGATGCTCACGTTAGATTTCAGATCTGCAGTTATGCTATTTATATTTGTTTTGCCCTAGCAGCACTAGTCATTAAGTTATATTATGTCATTAGAGACTAATTTGTTGCTATTGAGTGATGAGAACTATTTTGCTACTTTATGTTGTGCACTAGCACTCTGGTAGCACTATTTATTATGGTATTATATGCTAAGACATGACAATATTAAGGTATGATTTGCTTCTGAATTTTAGTAGCATTATATATTAAGATGATCATATGGCGTCGCCTCGCCGCGCGCCTTAAACGCCTAGTCAACTCAAAATGGGCGGGTCGCCGCGGCTCGACTTATCGCCTTAAAAACCATGTCTAGAACTCCGCAAAGAAAAATAAGATCCTGGACACCTAAAGTATGCATGATAAATTCATGACAGTGCTGCAACAAATAAAGTATGCATTGCAAAATTCCACACTCGCCAAAGATATACCTGGTGGCAAAAGATAAGTTGTGCACAAAAAGAAATTTTAGTTGGGAGTTGTATAGAATATCGATACTGCATTACTTATCCTCGAGATAGTAAAAAGGCATGCTTTTGACAATTAACTAACAGAATCACTCTTCCAGAAATTAACAGTAAATTTTCAAGGACAACATCAGACCCCAAACCAACAAAAAACTCAAAAATAGCCATACCAACAATTTCTCCAAGGTGCATTGATACTGAATTTAGTTGAGCCTTGTTTTCGTAAAGACGACTAACAGCACATCTTGATCTAACAAGTTCTTTAGCAAGAGCCTGGCATGAAAAAGATGTCATAACATCAATAGTACACCAAACTGTTATTAAAACTTGAAACCTGAAATGAGAAGGAACAGAACACACAGAAGTGCTGGTACATGTAATATCCAATGATTCATGGCACACACATGGAGACCAAAGGACGTGCTATTTACCTCATGGGTATTCCATCAAACACCTCCTGTACGCTATTGATGTTGACGTCGAGTCCAGCGTCGAAGGTGTTGGTTGTGGGTGCTGCCAGGGCTGTGAATGCTGGTGTAGATGGCTGAGATGCCGTGGCTGCTATCCCCTTCGACTTGGGGACCTCCGGTGGTCCCTCGTCCCCTGGAACCCCAGTCACGACGGCGAGGAGTGGAACCACGCGGCTGCAGCCGCTGGTCTCGCCGTCTCGGCAACCACGGATCACCACGCCCACTGCCGCCGGTTGCTGCTGGAGTACGGAGAACAGCATAGGAATTAAATCCCGCACCTGGGCCATGAATTCAAGACGGAAAGAAGGGGTGGGTGCAGGGAAGAGGAAGAGAATACCTGGGCCTGAGGAAGGTCTTGCGCGGCGAGTCGCCGAGCCACAGCAGCAGTGCGCGCCGTCGAGAGGGTGAGGGCGAGGCGCAGCGAGACGACGAGGGCGACGAAGACGGCAGAGCGCGACAACGAGCGCGATGACGGCAGAGCGTGACGCGGCCGATCCCTAGCAGCAGCGCGCAGAGAGCGGTTCTGCGCGCGCGTGGGCGGTTCCGCGGTAGAGAGCGCGGGCAGGGCTGATTAGCGAGGCAATTACGTACGAGAGGGGTGAGGTGATTAGTAGTAATCAGACGATGACCTCTAGGTGATTCGTAGTAGAATACAGTTCATATATATATATATATATATATAATATAGAAGATATAGAATAGAAATTTAACTAAATATATAAAAAATAATATTAATATTTATATCGTCAAATAAATTTATTATGAAACTGTATTCTACTACGAATCTAATGATAATTATTACATATTAAAAGTATGGACATTTTCTTATATATACTTGGTCAAATTTAAAAAAATTTGACTCCTCGATAAACAAGATGTGTACTTATTTAGGACGAAGAAAGTACATTTTAATTTAGAAATATAAATATATTTGTTATAACTATGTATATATGTGATCTATTCTTAAAATAAATACATAATAACCATATTGCTCATATAGATGAAAAACAAATCAACAATAGTTGCAGAATGAAGGCATCGGCGACACTGTTCCCACTAGTCGACGTAGTGTGTCGATCGACGTAGTCATTTACGCTCGGTGAAGCACAAAAGGGACCTTGTGTAGTCGCTTATGTTTGCACGTTGTGTAGTCGCTTATGTTTGCCTGTGCCAACTATGAGTCTATGAGTCATTTACGCTCGGTGAAGCACAAAAGGGACCTTGTGTAGTCGCTTATGTTTGCACGTTGTGTAGTCGCTTATGTTTGCCTGTGCCAACTATGAGTCTATGACAGCCACTAGGAAGTAGTAGTTCTTGTGCACCGCGCGAAGTGTTTTTCAAAAACCAGATCACACGTACACACGAGCAAATGTCGCAGACGGGCTGCGGTTCCAGAGGTCTGGTTGTCGTTATATTGAGTACGGGGTAGCCCTTGCCGCAAGGAGAATAGCCCAGCTAGAACATAGTTGTCAGTCCTACAGAAGGAGGGACTCAGATCTACTTGGGAAACAAACTATCGGTCGGATATGCTTAGAAAGCCAAGTAATTTGTAAAATATTCACTCACATCCAATTAGATTTTTTCTTATACTCCCTTGGTCTCAAGATAGTAGGCGCAATTGCTTTTTTAGGACAACTCCAACAATCGACTTTTAAGCTAGCTCTAGCTCTAAGTATTTTTCTTATATTTTAATAGAAGAGAGAAAAGCCAGCTCTTAATCAAGAGCTACCCTCTTACACATATTTTAAGGTTACATGAGAGTGTCATGTGGGGCTATCTATGTTAAAAGCTATGTGCTAAAAGTTAGCACTATTGGCTCTGTACGGTAGGACTTATTGATGTTGCGGCTGATCTGTAGAGCTGATTTGTTATGAGAGAAAAATATTATTCAATGCCTGAAAAAAGTAGAGCTGATTCTGACTTATAAGCTCAAACGAACAGAACCATTGTAGAAGTTGACTTAAAGCTAGTAACTAGCTCTAACCATTAGAGATGCCCTAAATATCCTAGAGAAGAAGGCTTTTGAGGCATTGCAGTACTCAGCTTTGCATGCACGCATTTAGTGCTGGTTGTTGACTCCTCAACTTTCCGCGTGCCGTTAGTATACTAGATGTAGTAGTCCTGGTAGAGACGTGCCTTGTTTGCCGTTAGTATACTAGACGTTACTTTCTAGGAACACGGTAATTAATCTGTTCCTTGATCATAGCATTTTCTGAATTGTGCCTACTGTCTTAAGATAAGACAGAGGGAGTAACAAATAAGAAAATTGTATCTATAGGTCGATCAAAACTTCATCTATAACTTTATCTTTCGGACTATATAAGGAGGGAGAGATCCTTGATCGTCACCTTCGTTAATCGACGATACCCATTGTAGAATCTCTCCATAAAAATCATCAACCCAAGCGTATGACACGTAGAAAAACATTCTCAATTGTAAGCCTTGTTGTAAAGTTTCACAATAGCAGACGGACGGGGACCAATGGTGGCAGCAAAACACCTAAATAAAAGCAGGTGAAGCTGGTGGGGTGGGGTATGGATGGGGGTAAACAAAATAAGTGGCTCATAAATGTATTTTTAAAGTTCATCGGTCAGAGTGGCATATGGATACAAGGATGGCTAGTGTATTTAACTCAATAACTTTTCTTTGCACCTATGTTGTAAACTAAACAGTGTTATATCCATATGCAAAGGACCGATACATGTGTTCAAATCCTAATATGCAAACTTGAAACTCTTCTCTTGTTGCAACAAACCTGCCTTCAAGAAAAAAAGCAAAAGGCATCGAGACCACGAAGTGAACAGAAAAATTATAATCAGGAGTCATCAAAACACGGTTGCAAGAATAATTCTGAACTATTCCATCACTCCATGTAATCTTTACTTTTTAAAATTGATCATTCTCTTAAAATTAATTCTAAATTTAAAAATTGAAGTTGCAAAAAATATTAGTTTGATTTCAACATAAATTACTATAAATGAGTTAAAAACAAACTCTTTCCCTCTCAAGGGCTATAAACTGGCACATTAATTCTAGAAATCAAGATGCAACTGTCTTTATGAAAAGTATAGTAAAATGAAATAAAAAAGCCAAATACCTGTAGGACAAGTATATTGTAGAATCCAAATAGATTCACAACTATAGGAGGCATTACATGCATACACAAGAGCTACCCAAGTTGGACACCGATACCTCAGCAACCATGAAAAATCCTCGAACCACTTACGAATCCACATGTCACTCCTTCTACCAGCGTGCTATATTGAAAGGATTTATGGATGGTTACTGGGGAGGGGGCGAATAGCCTATTAAAAATATCTACAAAGACAACAACACTAAAAAAATTGACTAGTACAAAAGACAATCCTAATAGCCACTACTTGCCTAGCCTAAACAGTAAACATCACAACACAAGGCTTTCTACACAATTCTAGTAGCGGGTTTAGCTAACTATGTCACACAAGCTATACTAGAGGCACTAACTACAACTAGTGAGTTATACAAGTAAAGCAACTAAAGCTACTCCACTCACTAGAGGGCTACCACTAAGCAAGCTACAACAGAAGCACAAGTAATGAATGTAATTGCATGTGTAGTAGAGAGCAAACCGATGAAGGTAAGTGACACAATGATTTACCTTGAGGTTCGGTTGCTTGTTGATGACCTATGTCCCCATTCAGGTGCATTTTATTAGACCACTGCTTCACTAGCCTCGTGAGCACACATGCTCAACCCCTATGATGTCGGCACTAGTGTGAATCTGGCCGATCATCGAGAACCTCTCCAAGCCTCTTTTGATTCCACTAATGTCACTCTTCACGATTCTCCCACAGAGATGAGCACAAAGCCCCTCACAAGCCAAGGATCAAAGCCCCCGTGCAGTCTCCAAGCGATGCTCAACGATGATCTCCACAAGCACCAAGCCAGCCTAGGTGGTGGCAACCACCAAGAGAGTAACAAGAGCTCTTGAGTGAAAATGAATTCTATAGTGCCACAAGATGCAAACTCTATATTGCAAAGCACTAGATCATCTCCTATCTCACACAAATGCGAGTACAAAGTATGCAAGTGAGTGGGAGGTGTTTCTTAAGCACAAGAGTGTGTAGCTATCATCCCAAGTGTACAAGAGAGTGTCCAAGGCTAGCCAAGGGGCTATTTATAAGCGCGTGCCCACACCCCCTCCCCACATGCACACGCGCGCGCATGCACACACACACTCGCACTCAACTAGTCGTTAGAGAAAACAAACAGTTTTTTCGGGAGCATCAAATAGCTCTGGTGTGGCACCGGAGCCAGCACTAGAGATCCCCTATAGTGCCCCCAACAGCTAACTCCAAACTAGCCGTTGGAGTGCCAGTCACTCCGGTGCACCCTCTAGTGAGGGCACCAAAGGTTCTCGTGAACGCTATGCCGAAACATCCCAAAAATATCGTCTCTAGAGTCACACTCCAGTGAGTGCACCGATGAAAGCCCTAGTTTGGTTTAGGATAATTGATGAAACCGAAGTACTAACCTATGTCATCAAGTGTGATCATGAGCTAGGTTGGTACACACCAAGTGATGGAGCAAATGAGAGGTCCATGGAGATAGAGATGGACATGAGATGATGGTGATCAAGCTCCAATTTAGAAAAGAAGAAAGAAAAAAACAAAAACCAAGGAGATCAATGCAAATGTATCAAATAGGTTTTTCTTTTGGCACCCAAGACACCATAGAGGGTGTGAGTGTGTTTAGGATCGATAGCCGTACTAGGTGACATGATTCTTGCATATGCATTAGCGACCTAGTGTGCTAACATTTGACCCTTAAAATGCTTTGAAAAATGCTAACACACGTGCACACAAGTTACACACTTTGTGGTTAACTACTTGGAAGCAAGGGTGAAGCCGTTGAGGAGTTAGAAAAAGCAAAGGAGGCGAAGGTACCTGAATGGACTTTAGCTCCAGGGCTGATCAGACTCACCCATGGAGCATCCGGTCAGTTGGCGCTGCTCTCGGTCTACCTTTGTGGCATGACCGAACGCTAGGATCGGACACAGGGGGAGCGTCCGGTCACTTGTTCCAGAGAAGGCGCAGCATGGCTTCATGACCGGACCCTGCTAGGCAAGCATGACCTGACGCACCCCCTGCGTGTCCGGGTGCGTTAGGTCATGGCTGACGTACGCTGACATAGCACCTGTGTGTGAGCGCAGTGAGGACCGGACTCCGGGGCACGTCCGGTCACTTGTGACCTGACGCGCCCGATCATGAAAAGCGTGCTCGGGGAGCTCTCTGTGTTAAAATCACCC